AAACTGTGGAAAATTCTTAAAGAAACAGCAGTACCAGACCACTATACCTGCCTCCTGAGAAACCTGTATGCAGGTCAAGAAGCAAGTTAGAATCAGACATTGAACAACTGACTGGGAAAGAGTATAATAAAGCTGTATCTTGTCACCCTGCTTACTTAACTTCTATGCAGAGTACATCATGAGAAACGCTGGGTTGGATGAAGCACAAGCCGGAATCAAGACTGATGGGAGAAATATCAATAACCTCAGATATGGAGATGATATCACTCTAAGGGCAGAAAGTGAAGAGAAACTAACAAGCCTCTTGATAAGGGTTAAAGAAGAGCATGACAAAGTTGGCTTGAAACTCAACATTCAGAAAACTAAGATCATGGCATCTGGTCCCATCACTTTATGGGAAATAGATGGGGAAACAGTGGAAACAGTGTCAGACTTTATTTTTGGGGGCTCCAAAATCACTGTGGATGGTGACTGCAGCCATGGAATTAAAAGATGCTTGCTCCTTGGAAGAAATGCTATGACAAACCTCAACAGCATACTAAAAAGGAGAGACATCACTTTGCTGACAAAGGTACATATAGTCAAAGCTATAGTCTTTGATTATGGTCAGTAGTCACGTATGGATGTGAGAGTTGGACCATAAAGACTGAGTGTCAAAGAATTGAGAATTGTGGTGCTGGAGAAGGCTCTTAAGAGTCCTGGGACTGCAAAAAGATCAACCAACCCTAAAGGAAATCAACCCTGAATATTCACTGGAAGGACAGATGCTAAAGCTGAAGCTCCAATACTTTGGCCACCTGATGCGAAAAGCCAACTCACTGGAAAAGACCCTGATGCTAGGAAAGACTGAAGGCAAAAGGAGAAGGAGGTGGTAGAGGATGAGATGGCTAGGTAGTGTCACTGACTCAATGAACATAAATTTGAGCAAACCCCAGGAGGTAACGGAGGACAGAGGAGCCTGCCATGCTGCAGTTTATGGTGTTGCAAAGAGTTGGACACAACTGAGCAACTGAACAACAACTACTCCAGGCTCCTAGGATTAAAGAATAAAAATACAGTGGCACAGCAGGCTCAAAATTCAGACTGGCTTCTGTGAGCTGCACGGCACACAGCACTGTGTTTGGCAGCCCTGGCAAAGGTATATTTAAGCATGTATGTAGGCTAGAGAGGGCAAGACTTAAAAAGGAGTGATAACGGATAATTACTGAGAAAGAAAGATAAAGAGGGATGATCATGGACACATCTGGAGAAGGTTGCTCTTGAAGAAAAGGAAGGACAATTCCTTCTTTTCAGATAAGAGTAAATAAAGAAATGATATCAGGATAGAAAAGATTATACCTGAGATATTTGAGATTTTTCTCAGGAAAGGAAAAGATCAAGTTATTTGCTATAAACACTTTCATGAAGTTAGACAAAAAAACCCACAATCGACATTATAGATCTGGAAGATAACAGAACACTAACTGGTATGAAAACAATCCAAAATTCTCACACAACTGTCTCTTGTATCCTTCAGAGATCAAGATAGTGATTAGGCCTGTTCAGAACTGGGCACTAGAAAGATAAACTGACATAAAGTTAAGTATTCTAAGGTATCAATGACGGGCTGGTAAAAACTGATGACCATGGGATACTGGTGACTAGGGGAGGCAAATGAAAAGAGCAGTAGGCTAATGAATTGAATGAATAGAGAGACACAAAGATGGGAGGGTTCCTAAAGACAGGAAGAGGGGAAGAAAGAGAGAGAGAAAACGGGTTCCATAGGTGTGGAAGAGTGCTTGTTTGTGGTCAGACAGGTCTTGACACAATGCCTCAGGCAATGAGCTACTGCCTAGGGCTGAGTACTACCCCGTCAGCTAAAAGCACAGAATTGAGAGACAAGTGCCTGTAAAAACACGCAGTCCTCAGGTGCAGGAAACAAACAGGCTTACCTGGTGGCTTAGTGGTAAAGAACCCACCTGCCAATGCAGGAGACATAAGAGATGTGGGTCTGATCCCTAGGTCGGGAAGGTCCTGTGGAGGAGGAAATGGCAACCCACTCCAATATTCTTGCCTGGAGAATTCCCATGGACAGAGGAGTCTGGCTGTCCAAGGATTGCAAAGAGATGGACATGACTGAAGCGACTTAGCCTAGCACAGCAACAAACAAGTGAATGAATTTGCCCGCACAGGAAGCAAACATTTAAATATCTCCTCTCCTTTTAAAATGAACAATTCTATCTCCAAATTTAAGAAATTCATCAAGAGGATAAAAGTCTACAATAAAGGTTAAGGCAGATGTGTGTCAGAAGCTAGAACGAAAAGTTAAATCTGTCAGGCCAATTGTAACCCACCTGTTAAAAGACTTTTAGCATAAAATTCCAATAAGGCAACAACAGTTTGTGCTTTAGAAACTCTGGAGAGCACCTAGCATGGCTTCAAAAAAAGGATATCACTCAATTTAATTTTAAAAGGTCCACCCATTGCAATCTCAGTGGACACAGGCACACAGCACTGTGTTTGGCAGCCCTGGCAAAGGTATATTTAAGCATGTATGTAGGCTAGAGAGGGCAAGACTTAAAAAGGAGTGATAACGGATAATTACTGAGAAAGAAAGATAAAGAGGGATGATCATGGACACATCTGGAGAAGGTTGCTCTTGAAGAAAAGGAAGGACAATTCCTTCTTTTCAGATAAGAGTAAATAAAGAAATGATATCAGGATAGAAAAGATTATACCTGAGATATTTGAGATTTTTCTCAGGAAAGGAAAAGATCAAGTTATTTGCTATAAACACTTTCATGAAGTTAGACAAAAAAACCCACAATCGACATTATAGATCTGGAAGATAACAGAACACTAACTGGTATGAAAACAATCCAAAATTCTCACACAACTGTCTCTTGTATCCTTCAGAGATCAAGATAGTGATTAGGCCTGTTCAGAACTGGGCACTAGAAAGATAAACTGACATAAAGTTAAGTATTCTAAGGTATCAATGACGGGCTGGTAAAAACTGATGACCATGGGATACTGGTGACTAGGGGAGGCAAATGAAAAGAGCAGTAGGCTAATGAATTGAATGAATAGAGAGACACAAAGATGGGAGGGTTCCTAAAGACAGGAAGAGGGGAAGAAAGAGAGAGAGAAAACGGGTTCCATAGGTGTGGAAGAGTGCTTGTTTGTGGTCAGACAGGTCTTGACACAATGCCTCAGGCAATGAGCTACTGCCTAGGGCTGAGTACTACCCCGTCAGCTAAAAGCACAGAATTGAGAGACAAGTGCCTGTAAAAACACGCAGTCCTCAGGTGCAGGAAACAAACAGGCTTACCTGGTGGCTTAGTGGTAAAGAACCCACCTGCCAATGCAGGAGACATAAGAGATGTGGGTCTGATCCCTAGGTCGGGAAGGTCCTGTGGAGGAGGAAATGGCAACCCACTCCAATATTCTTGCCTGGAGAATTCCCATGGACAGAGGAGTCTGGCTGTCCAAAGGATTGCAAAGAGATGGACATGACTGAAGCGACTTAGCCTAGCACAGCAACAAACAAGTGAATGAATTTGCCCACACAGGAAGCAAACATTTAAATATCTCCTCTCCTTTTAAAATGAACAATTCTATCTCCAAATTTAAGAAATTCATCAAGAGGATGAAAGTCTACAATAAAGGTTAAGGCAGATGTGTGTCAGGAGCTAGAAAGAAAAGTTAAATCTGTCAGGCCAATTGTAACCCACCTGTTAAAAGACTTTTAGCATAAAATTCCAATAAGGCAACAACAGTTTGTGCTTTAGAAACTCTGGAGAGCACCTAGCATGGCTTCAAAAAAAGGATATCACTCAATTTAATTTTAAAAGGTCCACCCATTGCAATCTCAGTGGACACGCTACCATTTATACTCATAACTTCATTTTTTACCATTCTTCTGCTCTTGACACATTATCCAATTACAGGAAAAAAATGGGAAAAATCAGACATGGCAACCTCCACTACTACATCCCTCCTTCAGTTTGCACTTTTTACACCATTAATTCTGACTACTCTTGCCCTAGTAATAAATGAAGAAGAAATGACACTGGCACAACCTAAATTTTGCAGAAAATATCAAGTACCAGAAGGATTGTCAAGTAGTACTAATAACAATTGAGAACCCAAGAAATTTGATTAGTTTCAAGTTTAAAAAACCGTTTCCCCAATTCAAGCCCTTCCCAAAAAAAAAAAAGGCCTGGGACAACACAAGACTGTGAAGCTTCAATGGACGATTTAGGCTAACAGTGAATAAAAGAATCACTAAAATCGCTTATCCTTTCTTGGGCTATTACATTCCTTACCTTCATAAAGCCTTCTTTTAAAACCGGGACCACTTCTCAATTCTTTCCCTGGATCTAGTATACATACGTCCCCCCGTCCCCCCCCCCCCCAAAAGTTTAGAGACCAAAGACTTGCTGTAGTCAGAAAAAGATTAATTTAGATGAAGAATCACTTGCCGTCACTGGCACCATTCCTCAACTTTGCAGGAGTTCGATGGTCAAATTCCCAAAACCATCAAAGTCTCCTGGGGGCTGGATTCCCCCTACAAGATGAACAAAATCCACTGGCGTCTGGATAGCAAGCTTTTCTTTGTAAGTCTATAAGCCTGGGAAAGCTTTCCAGACAGTTAAAAGACTTCTCAAGGAAGCAAAAGGTCGAAATCAGGAAGATGGGGAGGTGACTAAAACAGGCAGACGACCCACCCACCTAACGCGAAGGAGGGACCGCTTGCAAGGGCTGACGCTTCAGCAGGAGGCAGGAAAGGTTGCGGAGGGCGGCCGGCGCTGCGACCCCCGGCCCCCGGGTGGGAATGGAGGGCACGCAAAGTCAGGGGCCAGCTGGAGGCCTGGAGCGGGGCGCGGAGAGGGGGCGGGACGTGGAGACAAGGGAGCGGCGGAGTCCGGCTGAGCACCACCAGGGTCTCAGCCACAGCGGGGCAAAGCCGAGAAAGCTTTGCCCAAAGAGGAGACACCGAAGCTTGCAGCTTCACCCACCTGCCAGACGCTCGCCCCGCGGACAGAAGCACGGACGCAGCCCGGGCGCTTCCTCTCCTGCCGGACACAGCCCCTGCCGCCGCCGGAGCTCCGGGACCCGACAGCACAGGGCGGTACCGAAGTAGGCAAAGCGGCGACCGCACTGGAGCAGACCGGGGTGTACATAGGGGGCGCCGGGGGCTCGGGAAGGCAGCTCTGTGCTTGACCTTCCTCACCGGTGGCCAACGGCGCTCCCTGGGAACAGCATCCCGCCTGGGCCCGCTGCGCCCGGGCCTGCGCCCGCGGCTCCCCCATCTACTGCTATATTCAAATTACTCCAAAACTCAACGATTAAAACAACAAACATGAGGTTATGGTTTTGTGAGTTAGGAATCTGCAAACACTTAGGTAGCTCCTCTGGTTCAATGTTTCTTACCAGGCTGAAGTCAAGGTGTTGGCTCGGCTGGCAGAAGGCCCCGCTAGGGGAGGATCTTGTGGTTGTTGGCAGAATTAAATTCTTCATGGATTGTTGGACCCAGGTCNCACCACCTTTGCTCTCTTGCCCCTTCGATTTTAATAACTGAAAACATACCTCTTCCAGGAAGTCCTTCCTCTCACACAATTTGGTCAGTTCTTTTCTAATACCTCGCCTTACCTCTTTAAGCTTTATTTCATTCATTGTAAATTCAACAAATAATATTTGAGTTTCATTTATATTCTAGATATGATTCTAGGTTATAGGGACAAGGGAAATAAACTCATGGGACTTACATTTTAGGGGAGAGTATAAAACCAAAAAAAAAAGCAAACTTCAAAATCAACAAAATAACGTTTGATAGTGATGAGGGATGGGAAGAGAAAAAAACCACCAAAAGTTAATATTGGGTGAGGGGTGGTAGTTAGCGCTCTCTCTCCAGAGATGACACTTGATCTGAGGCCTGACTGACCACTGGCGCCAGAAGTTGAGAATCATCCAGGCAGAGCGTTCTAGACAGAAGAACAGCAAACGCAGCAGACCTCTCATTCTTGAGGTGGGAGTGAGACCAGCACATAAAGGACAGAAAGACTAGGTGATGTGGACACCTGGGGAGGATATGAGGGGGGGCCGAGGGGGCGAACAGGGGCAGTTTAGGTAGGACATTGAGGCCATGGTAAGAACTGGATTTTTACTTCATGGTAGCCCCTCCATCTTGTTGACGCTGCCAGAACTACTCCTCAAACACTTCTAGCTCCTGACTGCCTCGCTGCACATGCTGACTCCACTGTCTTGAAGACACTTGCTCTTGTTCTTTACACATCTAGCTTCTCATCTTTCAGGTTTCAGTTTAAATGTCACCTCAGAAAGGCCATCCTTCCTAAACTAAGTATCCCACCTGCCCTTTCATTAGTCTCCATCATTGCACCTGATCATTTCTTTTAGGGCACTGAACATATTTTTCAATTATATATTCATTGCTTCTTCACCATTCAGTTCACTAAACTGAACTCCACCAGGGAGGGAAGATGTTTCACTTACTAGTGAATACTCAATGCCTAGCACCATGCCTGGCATGAGTGATCACTCAATATGTGTTTGCTGTTTTTAGGAATGTCGAGTTTGTCAGCACTTAAGTAGTCAGTGGTATACTACATTGTTTTACACTGGTTTTTAAAAATAAATGCAAGTCATTTCCTGTTTATATACCCTCTGCTAAATTATAAATAAGAACTTTGGCAGAGAGAGAGAGAGAGAGGAAGAGAATGAGATGAAGAGTAGGTGAGGGGTAGTGGGCAAAGATTGTATTTTGCATATATTTGCAGGACTGGGAGGTGGAAGGCTTCAATTTAGTGAAGCACCTGTTATATGTGTCCTGCGTTTGGCTAGATACTTAATTCCCACTACAGCCTTGCTAGGTAGTTATCCTTAGTTTTATACATAGAAAACTTGAGAGAGACTAAGTCACTTGCCTAAGGTCCTACATTAAGAGATAGTGCCAACCATAAAGTTCATGCCCTTCCCTTCTAGAGAAACTGGATTTTGAGATGGGTTTGTTTGGTGATTTGATTCTGTGTCATTAGCAGGCTTTTATTAGCCATTTCAGCCACTGCCATTTAAGAATCCCAATCATACTGCTGTTCTTGTATAGGATCTCAACAAAGGGCCTGATGTGAAATTGCTGTGATTTTTTTTTTTTCTTTTGGACTATGGCAGGGTTCATTTTACCATTCCCTTTTCATGTCTTTTTAAAATTTGTATTTCTTTTTATTAATAATGTGTACACATTTGATCAAAGGAAAAGAGGAGATACAGAAAAATGGGTGCATTTCCTAAATGCTAGCTGCATCCCCTTGGTTAGGCTTGTTATTTTATGACTAACTCTTTCATCTAGGTCCCAAGTAATACTTTAGACATCAAAGACAGTTCTCTGGCAAAGAGTGACAGCCTCATCACAACAATCACTTATCCCATTTACTCATCAAAATTATACACCATCATTTCCCTCCAAACAGGATAGCTGGGGAAAACTACGAGAAAGGATAGGGCCGCTATCCTGTATCCAGGGCCATTCAGCCTTTATATGAAGGCATTCAGTTTTTTTAATATCATTAACTCATGATAGCATACAGTTGTCAATCAAACCCAGCTAGTCCATAAGCAAACCAAATAGTAGGTGGGAATACATACTTAAAAAGATTCTTCGATCTTCTACCCCACTGTAGTAGGACTCCTTGGAATAAATTCTGGAATCAAGGCAATGGCTTTGGTTTCTGTGGTATGCTCTCCTCATGGTTATCATCTGTTATTGGTTGAATATTCTCCCACTCCTCAAAAGATATGTTGAATTCCTAACCTCAAGTACTCAACAATATGAACTTATTCGGGAATAGGATCATTGCTGATGTAATTAAGTTCAAATGAGGTCATACTGGAGTAGGTGGACCCCTAATCCAATAACTAGTGTCCTTATAAGAAGACAGCCAAATGGAGAAAGAGACACATGGGGAGAAGGCTGTTTGATGGCAAAGGCAAAGATTGGTGTCGTGCACCTGCAAGCCAAGGAACACCAAAGACTGCTGGCCAGCCACCAAAACTGAGATAGAGGCAAGTGAGGATTTCGCTACAGATTTCAGGGGAAACACAGTCGTGTCAACAACTTGATATCAGATGTAGAAGCTCCAAAACTGTGAGACAATAAATATCCATTGTTTTAAGCTACCCAGTTCATGGCAATTTGTTATAGTGGCCTTAAAAACTAATACACCCCACTCTCTTTTCATATGTGTGTGTGTGTGTGTGTGTGTGTGTGTGTGTGTGTGTGTGTGTGTCAGGACGTGAAGTAAAGGAAAGAGAATGTCAGGGCTTGAATCAGAGGAAAGAGATGGGGATGGGCTGCCCACTCCAGTATTCTTTCTGGAAAAACCCCATGGGCAAAGGAGCCTGATGGGCAATAGCCCATGGGGTCACAAAGGGTCTGAGATGTCTGCTAAGTGATGACTTAGCAGGCACACATGCATCCAGAATATCATTTAAACCTGTGGCGCTGAAATGCAGCTAGTGATGCATTACTGGAGTGGGTTACCATGCCCTCCTCCAAGGGATCTTCCCAACCCAGGGATCGAACCCAGGCCTCTTGCATTACAGGCGAATTCTTTACCATCTGAGCCACCAAGGAAGCCCTCAGTTCAGTTCAATTCAGTTGCTCAGTCATGTCCGAATCTTTGCCACCCCATGGACTGCAGCACGCTTGTCCATCAACAAGTCCTGGAGTTTACTCAAACTCATGCCCACTGAGTCGGTGATGCCATCCAACCATCTCATCCTGTTATCCCCTTCTCTTCCTGCCTTCAATCTTTGCCAGCACCAGGGTCTTTTCAAATAAGTCAGCTCTTCACATCAGGTGGCCAAAATATTGGAGTTTGAGCTTCAACATCAGTCCTTCCAATGAATATTCAGGACTGATTTCCTTTAGGATGGACTGGTTGGATCTCCTTGCAGTCCAAGGGACTCTCAAGAGTCTTCTCCAACACCACAGTTCA